TGGACAATAAGTAGTCCATATTATTTTGAGAGTCTCTGGGACTGTTCCCTTGAAGAGAATGAAGCAACCTTTATCTCTTCTGATTAATTTTAGTTTGAAGTTTATTTTTTTAGATATTAAAAAAGCAATGCCTGCTTGTTTCTTGGTCCCATTTGTTTGGAATATTTTTTCCATCCTTTCACTGTAAGGTGAAGGTAAGATGAGTTTCTTGTAGGCAATAAAAAATGGATTTTGTTTCTTAATCCATTCCATTAGCCCCTGTCTTCTGATTTGGTTAATAGTTAAGGCCACGGATGTCTAAAGTTATTATTGAAAAACGTGTGTTGGTTATTGTGGTTTTCTTGTCTGTATTCTTAGTTCTATTTTGTGTGTCTGTGACTCTAGCTTCATCTGTTTTCTTTCTATAGCCTTTTGGGTATGGTTACCCCTTTCTTCAGTCTATCATATTGCTTCCCGCATGCTCTGTAGGGCTGGTTTAGCAGACGTGAATTCTTTCAGTCTTTTTTATATTTTGGATGAATTTTCATTCTCTTTCATCTATGATAGGCAGTTTTGCTGAGTAAAGCAGTCTAGGTTGGACTCTGTGGTCATTTAGAACTTGGAATACCTTGCTCCAGGCTTTTCTGGCTTTTAAAGTTTGCATTGAAAAGCCAAATGTTCTTCTCACGGGTTTTCCTTTATTTGTAACTTGATTTCTCTCGCAGCTTTCAGTGCCCTCTCCTTTATCTGTATATTTAGTGTGTTTACTATGATGTGCTGTAGAGAGTTTCATTTCTGGTCCTGTCTATTTGGTGCTCTACCTGTTTCTTGTATCTGTTTGGACATGTCTTTCCTTAATTTAGGACTGTTTTCTTTTATAATCCTTCTGTGCTACTTGAATACCATTGACCTAAGATTCTTCTCTTTCCTCTATGTCTATAATTCATAGATTTTTGTCCTTTCATAGTATCCCACAGCTCCTGTATATTCCATCACTGTAGATTTATTTTCTAAGTTTTTCATATTCTTTGCTTCATCAGTCCAGTTCTCCAACTTTGTCTTCAAGTCCTGATATTATGTTTTCTATTCGATTCATTTTGCTGGTGAAGCTTTCTCCTGGCTTTTCTAATTAAGTTACTGGGTTTTTCAATTCCGTATTCACCTCAGATTGCGCTTTCTTCAATAATTCTATCGCTTTTGTGAATTCATTTTTCGAACCCTTGTCTTTGTCATTTCATTCAGCTGTATATTTATATTTTCTTGAGCTTCAGTAAGGAGTTTATTCCTATCCTCTGAGTTCCTTGACATGTTTGTATGTTTCACTTAAAGTCTTTGAATTCTTTGGTCATGTTTATGATTGTTCTTTTAAGTTCTATGTCCTGGGGTTCCCCTGGGTAGTTCTCATTGTAGAACACTTCTGTAGGACTGGTAGGATTTGATGGGAACATATTATCTTGGCTTTTCTTATTAGTTGTGTTTTTGCAATGTGACCTGGGCATATGGACTTCCTTTGTCAGTTGTGTGTTTGCTATGAAATTCTGTCTTTGTTGAGTGGGAGTTTGGTTTCCATTTTTAATGTTGTGCTTGGCTGCTTTTCATCAGTTATAATTAGTTGGTCCATGCTTCAGGTTCTCACTTTTGATTTTTTAATTGCAGAGACAAAGGTGATTCCAAGCTAGTCTGGTGTGCAAGGTGGGCAATCACAGCTAGGACTGTGAGTGTGGAGATAGCATCAGGATAGACTGGTTTTAGCTGGCTCTCTGGGCTATTCCAAAGCTAAAGCAACACTTTCTAGGCTGAGTCCTGAGTGGGGAGATGGTGACCAAGTGGTCATTGTTCTGACTAGCTCACCAGGCCAGCCCAGAGCTAGGCAGGATTCTAACTAGCTTACCATGCTAGTCCAGAGCTCTTCAGCAGTGTATTCTGGGCCTAGTCCTGGAGTGGGAAGATGGCAACAAAGTGGGCGAGATTCTGACTCACTCACTGGGGTGGTTTGGAGCATGTAAGCAGCAGGTTCTGGGCCTCGTCCCAGAGGGGAAAGATGGAGATCTCTATTGCTCTTTTAACCTTGATGTTGAAACAAGATCATTCCGTCCCTGCTCACTGGGGTGGTTTGGAGCATGTAAGCAGCAGGTTCTGGGCCTCATCCCAGAGGGGAAAGATGGATCTCTATTGCTCTTTTAACCTTGATGTTGAAACAAGATCATTCCGTCCCTCACCCCTGAATCTGCAGCTCATGTGCTGGCTAGATGGTCTAACTGCACACTCTGGAGATCTTCTTGTCTGCTTTTCTCTCACCCCTAGGCTACAGGAACATAGCACCAAGCTCAGCTTTTTACCTAGGTGCTAAGGATCTGAACTTGGGTTCTCTTGCTTGTGCAGCAAGTGCTTCACCAACGGAGCCCCAGCCTGAAGAGGAGAATTTCAAAGGCCTCAATCTTCAGATAACTGTGAACACTTTTCTTTGATACCACACCAAAATGTGACAAGTGATAATTTCTTTAAAGTTTGTAGAATATAATTTAATGCTGCACACCGGAGAATCCTTCATAAATTACAACCTATCAGCCTGTCTCGTTAACCACGATTTCAAAACACTGAGTACATGTCATTTGGAAAATGAGTTATGTAGACAACCCACATGTTGAAATATTTAATTATATAATTAAACAACATTTTAATTAACGTTATCACTCATCTCGTCAGAAAAATTCTAAACATTAGAATTCATGGTGATAAGTAAAAATTGTCCAAAACTCCAATGCTCCTATGTAAGTTCAAATTTTGTCATGGGCAACAAATACTAACAGTCTGCTCCTAGAAGTGGCATGCACATTTTCAAGAAAATGACTGCCAATACCCAAAGCTGAACAACCACAGTCTGTCGCTTGTTCTTTCAAATAAAGATGGTATTCCACAATAAGAGCGAGTTGTTCAACTTCAGTCCTATCACCCATGTGTTTCTCCAGACAGCCACGAGCATTGATGTGTGACAGAAATTCCCAGACATACAGCCACTTACAATCCACCAATTATGAAAAGTCTACACTGGAGGACAGGGCTTCGAAATGTCATATTTTGTACTTCATCAAGGGCGTTCATAAGTACAGCTGGCTTTTTAATTTTACCTTTTATTGTATGTGTTTTTGTGTCTATGTGTACCTGTATGCATGCCTTAGCACATGTATAGAGGTCAGCGGACAACTTGCAGGAGTCAGTTTTTCCCCTTCCATCTTGTGAGTCCCAGCATCTTTACCTGCTGAGCCATCTCACTGGCCCCTAGCTGGATTCCTTTTTTAATTGCATGTCCACAATATTAAAGACTATAATAGCACAGCTTGTTTCCACTGCCTCGCTTCATGGTGAAGAGTCAAAAGTTTTACCATTGCTTTGGCAGTGTCAATGCAAATGATACAACACCAAAAATTGGGCTAAAAATGTCTTAATTCTGTTACAAAAATACTTCTGTCCTCATAGACTCCCATCTCAAAGGGTCCCAGACCCTCACAACCAGCTTCAGACCACACAGAACTGCTGCTCCACAGAGAGTTGATGATAGCTTTTCATTCCTCTCTAAAGAGATAGTCACATACACAGTGCACACACAAGGAAAGCGTGCGAAGGGTCTGCTGAGCACATCACTAGGAAGTGCAGGTCATGGAGAGCTTGGAAATGTCTTGAGAGAATAAGGAAAGGAGTATGGATTGGAGTTGTATGGTGCTTGCTGAGTGTTGGCATTTAAGGGGATGTTACACATGAGACACAATTTATGTGGTCTAAACATCTCAGCAGCACTGGGGCAGGGAGGAACTGGGCTTTCCTGCATACTCACTCATGTATTAGGTAGAAAGAAGGGCGAGGTGGGACCTGAAAGCTGGCAGTGAGAATACTGGAACCATACTCCTGCACTGGGGATTGAACCCACAAGCACAAAATCTTAAAATCACTCTTCCTCCCTAATCTCTATCCCTAAGACTCTCCACTGCACTTACATTTCAGATGCACTAAGTAAAAACTTACTTATTATATTTAAGGTGTATTATCAGCCTGCTTATTATCTGTTACAATATATATTTCCTGGTGACAAGATGCTTTACTGTTATGTATTTTGTTTAGATTATATGTATGGGTGTCATAACACTGACCTATCACAAGAGGTTGAAATAGTGCCTGGCACTCAGTGCCCCAAATTATATTTACTGAATGATACAAACTTATGTATTATTAAACAAGCCATTATTGAGTGTCAGAGGACCTCATAACAGAGTGTTTATCACAAATGGTATGGGAACCTATTGAAATAATATTTTCATGATTAATTATGAAAAATCATTGCGTTCATGTTTTTTATGCCTACTCTACTTAATTGTCAGTATATGTGTGAGCATGTGGACACAGAAACTGTATTCATCTTTGTACCATAAGTATCTAGACCAGAGCCTGGAAGTAAAATAGGTGATGAGTAAATACAAGAATCAAAGACCAAGCTGAATGAAAGACCTGACACTGACCACTGTGCACATCTGAAGACTCTGTGGCCTTTAGCAGTTTCTTAAACTGTGCAGCACAACAGTTGCATCAGAAAATGCTACTTTTTCAAACCGTATCTTCTTTTCTGTATTTTTATTTGGTGTCTAAGACTAAAAATGCTCCAAAGGATTTTTGCGTAAAATGCTACAAAGAATTTAGATTCAGTCTTTTTAAAAAAATTAATCAAAAGTCAAATACTGTTAATTTGTTCATTTTATATATGACAGTAAACATCCTACCTAGTGTGTTTAATAAAGCAGTTTCTTTGTAGAAAATCTGTTTTCAGTGTAATCATGAATGAAAAATTCTATGTATAATAAAAAGCAAGTATGCCCTATGGATCCAGAAAGTTCTTAAAAAGCTACATGACATTTGAATATACTCAAAAAACAAGGATAAGCAACTTCCCACCAGCACCAAACGACAGGACACTTGGGCTTTCTAAACTAGGAAGAAGCTCCCGTCTGTTCCTCTTCTACCAGGAGACTCACCTGTATGCTGCCCGGTGTCTCTGCAGGGCAATGGCTGCCAGCTGCAGCTTGGCCTCTACCACAATCTCCAGGTCGCCTGCCTCACACTGAGACAGGCTCTTGTGGCCTGATTGCTCCATCTCAGACACCAGGAGGTTGAGACTCTCTTCAGCTTCCATCAGTAAAACTGACTAAAGAAAGAATACCACACAGTCACACAAATTAAAGTCTTGCTCTTGCCAAATATTTTTCATGTACTGAAAAGTAACAGTGATTGGAAGGGCCCAGAAGGAAACCTGTATCTAATCAGCAGAGGAGTCAAGATAAAGGAAAAGTGGAAGCAAGCGCAGGCCTGGCCCACAGTGCTCTCCTTTATTATGTAGAGTCAGCTCACCACTCACAGCAAGTCTGCAAAGTTCTATAAAGTTACCATAAAGAGTAACTAGTGAATATTAAAGCATTTCCTCTGAGGAAATACAGAGAGACGCTCCTATGAGACTTGTCACATTTGTACTTTACCTTGTTTAATGTGTGTTGATATTACTGCCATAACCTCCGCCCCCTGCGCCTCATGTATTCTGCCATACATATTAAGTCCCATCTGGTCAAGCATTTTACCTGGATGTCATTAGGAGCGATGAAGAAAGGTCTATTCTCCCTCTCCTAGCAGCAATCAATCTCCAGCAGTTAGTTTTAGGTTTACCACAAAACAGAATGAAAGCAGTTTCCCTGTACCTCATACCACCACCCCAACATGCAGACACATACTCACAGACATGCACAGACACACACACGCACATACACACACTCATAAACTCACACACACACGCACACACTCACAAGCACACTCACATTCACATACACGTACACACACACACACAGTAACATATGCAAAAACATACGCAAAGTCACCATTATCAACATACCATGTTAAAATGGGTTTGTTTCCTAAGATGTATTAATCTGTATTAACACATATTACCCCAACTTCCCAGTATTCATTAGGGTTCACTCATGTATGTTGTACGTAACATATGCAAAAACACACGCAAAGTCACCATTATCAACATACCATGTTAAAATGGGTATGTTTCCTAAGATGTATTAATCTGTATTAACACAATATTACCCCAACTTCCCAGTATTCATTAGGGTTCACTCATGTATGTTGTACGGATTATGACAAATGTATACAGCCTCCTGTTCAGCACTGTCTGCTATACTGCATGCAGAGTTAAGTTCACTGTCCTAAACATCCTTTTGTTAGAGTACCAAAGAGCTCCATAACTTTAACTGGCCAAGACTATAAAAATCACCAGTCTATCTGTTGGAGGACCTACTTTTCCAGTCTCACTGGTCAATTACCTGGTGATAGGATCACTCCTAGAAAAGAAGGTTCACCTTAAGTTATGCTAAATAGATGGGCAGAATACCTGCTGTGTTAATGAGGTAGCGAACATTTCCTGCCTGGAACTAGCACAGATCACTAGATCTCTGCAGAACTTCCAGACCAGCCACAGTCATATAGGTCTCTGTAAGTCTGTCTGCTTTCCTGAGCTCTTCAGGAAAGTGTATTTCTCCTTTTCTTCTTCATGCCTTTCTTATTAAACATGCTTTCTTTAAGGCTTCTGACTGCCCCTAGCATCTGTTGGGTCTGAGGTTCAGGAATGATTGGAGACCACCCACCAGAATTCAAAATTTAGAAGACTTTATTGAAAAGCATTCCAATTCTTGAACAACCAGTCAGGTACAGACTCCAGGAGGCAATGAATGGAGTCCGCCCAGACCAATGAGCAGAGGTTTTTATTGGGTACTCTTGAAAAACACAGCGCAAACTGGGTGACCTTTGAATTGATTGGATAACTCTGAATTCCTTGGGGGAGGGATGATATGATTTCATTGGTTATAGTCATAGTCAGCCACCTGGAATGTCTCTGTTTTCCTTTTACACTAGGGTGCTGCTATCGGCTTCTGGATGTCCTTTTATGGTCAGGAATTTTGGTTGGTTTCAGCAAGGCATGTCGGGGCTTGCCTAATCTTAGCCCACAGTTTGAGGCAAAGGAGACTTACAGTTTCTAGGAACAGAGACTTAAGGCTGACAAGATGGAGACTGCTAAAAAAAAATGGAGCCAGTGTAACCTGGATCCTTCTGAATCCTGTATTTCTTCACTTTTTCTCTCAAGCTTCCTTCTCCCAGTCACATGTCTGACCTCCCTCACAGGCTCTAAACCCTCATAACTCCATGGCTTTCTTTCCTTCTTCCCACTATTCACCTCCTCAAGGCAGCTGCCAAAATTACCAGCTCACCTGCCCTGAGGATTTTTCTTTAAGATTCTAATAAAATTGTAAAAGCTTCCATTTGGAAAAAAAAAAAAAAAAAAAGAACACATTATTTAAAACATATTGCTTCATTAACCCCAAACTTATGGCCAATAGAACTATATTTCATGTCCGAATCAAGTTTATATGATGTGCCAATTTTCTTTGTAAGGCACATCACAACTTTGTTGAACTTAGAAACACTAGACATCATTTCAACACAAAGCATGAGGGGCATTTAAAATAGCAAAATCATCAACAGTAGAATGCAGAAAAATAACATAAGTTGAGAATTACTAATGCAAAAAATCTGAAATACATGTTAAGCATTAACATGATCAGGGCTAAGAACCTGTGGTTAGACAGGTCACAGGCCATAGGACAGAACCTACTCCTATTACTCTGCTTAATGGCCATAGTACTAAACCAATACCTAATGACTTACTGTTATGTGGATTAGTGCATCTCTCATCTCTCACCAGAGAAGCTTCTTCTTGCAGCTGATGGCGTTTAACACAGAGACCCACAATTGGTCAATGCATACACAATGAGAGTCTGTAGAGTGCTCAGACTTAAATGGGACAACTATCTCATACCTTGTCTTCACAAGGCTCAGGAATCATTGTGGAAGAAGGGGCAAAAGGATTATAAGAGTCAGAGGTAGTAGATGAATACAAGGAAACTGTTTTCTGGATACCACAGGACAGTTGTACATATGAACCCACAGCACTTGTGACAGCACGCACAAGACCTGTACAAGCCCAAACCAGATGAAAACCTAAAGTGGAGGTGGGAGGTAGGCAGGAGGCTCCAGCCCTAGCTGAGGATCTATTGGCAACTGATAGCTGCTGGGAGAGGGAGAGTCAGTTTTCTTCAGAGTAGTGATGCCTAGTAAGTTGACCAGACTCCAAGGGATGGACCCACACCTAAGAGCACTTATGAGAAAAAAAATCAGACTGGATAGACCTTTAATATATGTATGTCTATATTAACATATTA